GCCACTCCTGCTTCCAAGCTTGTTTTAATCGGGGAGCTTCACCAAACACTGTCCGCCCTGGGTAACAGTATTCGGCTTCACAGCAAGCTCGAGTTACCTCTGTACAGCAAGTGGACATACCAGGGTTACACAACCTTGGGCTAATTAATACTACAAATTAATCATATTTATATGTGAGATATTTCCTGAGAAAATACCACAGCTCCTTAAAGATCTGTGTAAAAGTCTGATGTGCTCCCTTTAACTAGGAATGACCTCCATGAGTTCAGAGGTGTGTCAGCTCTGCCTGGAGGCCCTGACGCCCTTAGCTGAACAGTGCAAAACACATGAAACAGATTCACCACTTTTTGTAGCAGTGAGGCACTTTCTTAAGCTCTTTTTTGACATGCTGGTTTTGCAAGAGCACAGTACCGAGATGACGACTGCAGCGGGTGAAGCCTGCTACACGTTGGTGTGCCTCCATCAGGCTGAATACTCTGAACTGGCTGAAACATTGCTGGCCAGTCAGCAAGACCCCAGGATGTACCGACCACTAGCTGATGCCTTCAACAAGCTCACTGCAAGCAGCAGGCCTTCCACACTGGACCGGAAGCAGAAGACGGCCTTCCTTAGAAGATTAGAAGAATTAATGGCAACTGTTGGTGGCCTTCTTTGTGTAAAATAAATAACTTAAAAAAAAATAATCCCCAAACTGTAATTCAAACAAGACTGCCTGTTAATTCTGTGAAGTACTTGATGGATTCGCTTCTTCTGAGTTGGCATCACAACTCCCTAGCCATAGGACACCAGAGGTCCTCTGATAGCCTATCCCAGACTAACTGTTGTCGTTAAGTGCCCTTGAGTCGCAGGCGACTCATAGCGACCCTATGAAGGAGAGTCCTCGATGCTCCCAGACCAATTAGGAAACAAAATTAGGGAACCAGTGAAAAATCACCTGGAACAGTGCAGGAATCCAAATATTAAGTTATATGATAAACCATACGCTTGATCAGGAATTGAAAGAAACACAAAATAGAAGCTGGAATTCCTCTTATGACAGATCACAAGAAATGAGCTGCTGCTTCCCGCAGACAAGAGGCAGCGTGGTCCCCCTGTAGAAGGAGCATTAAAAGTCTATACTTAGGGGAGCTCTGGTGGCCTAGTGGCAAGGAGCTGCAACTACAATCCCAGAGGCGCACGGTTCGAATCCACCAGATGCTCTGCCGGGGAAGGAGGGACAATCTCCTCCTGTACCAGTCAGATCTGATTTGACGGTACACGCACAGAAAAGTAATAAAATAAAATAAAAAATTAAAAAAACAAAAACAATGTTTTTAAAAAAAGTCTACACTTATGAACTACTTCCTTCCTGAGCTAGAAGGTTGACAAGTGGGAAAAATTCGGCTTCACTTACAAAAGAATTCTCTGTATCATTTACTTCCTGGTGATTCTCAATAAAAATATAGAGAGGCGTGGCTTGAGGCAGCTGCAGTTTTTCAAGCTGTTCACCCCCTGCATCATACTCTGTTGTTTTTTTTTTCAGTCTTGGTGTCCCCATCCTTGGTTTACAACAGAACAGGAGATCCTGTCCAACATGACCAGAAAAGAGGTTAATACAATTCCCATTAAACGCAGAACTAAAACCACACACCACACTGGAATATACTTCTATCTCTGTTTTAGTGTAAAGCATTCGTATTCAGATAGCAGAACTGAAGCCTTAATTAAACAGACTATGAGCTCCATTCCTCTTGACCAGTTTTCAATAGCAATCCCACCTGAATCCCTTCAACTTAAGATCCTTCCCCTGACTTTGTCCTGTTTCAAAAGGAATTTCAAAAGGTCTTCACCCTGCTCCCCCTTTTCTTTTACGGTGGGAATGTGGCAAGCCAAATTTGTAAGCAGGGACTGAGTGACGCACAGAGCAAACCTGATTTCTTCATGACTAATCACAAGGAATGAAGCCTTCCTTGCAGACAAGAAGATCCCACCCTTAACTCCCCACAGACAGAGTGTGAAAGCTTGTGCACTGTAAATCACTCTGTTCCTGAGATAAGAATGTCAGCAGATAAAAATATAGCTTTATTAGTAAAGAATTGTTTCCTGTGATTTAATTCCTAACATTTCTAAATAAAAGCTCTGAGAGGTTTGGGCTTGGGGCTGCAGTCTTTGAGCTGTTAGGCCCTGCTTATTCTTTGGTGTCCCTGTCTCTTTCTTCATCCTGGTCAACAACATGGGAATATACAAGGTTGAAACCAAAGTGACTGCATCTTACTGATTCCCTGGCCATCCTTGAATAGGTGACTCTGTGCAAGCATTTTGCAATAAAGAGTCAATCACCTGGTTAATGTAGAGTTGACACAGTAACTAGGGAAGACAGCAAGAGGGTTGATTCCTTTGAGCTGTGGCGCTGGAAAAAAGGACTGAATATACCATGGACTACTAAGAAAACGAACAGGTTTGTCTGGGAGAGGGATAAACCAGGCTGCTCCTTGGAGACAAGGATTCTGAAGCTTCCTCTGACATACTATGGACATGTTACAAAGAGGGACCAATCCCTGGAGAGGGACATCATGCTTGGGAGGGTGGAGGGACAGCACAGGAGAGGAAGGCCCTCTATGAGGTGGATTGATTCAGTGACTGGGGTAATGGGGGCGGGTGTGTCGTAGTGCGATTGACACAGGACTGAGCAGAGTTTAGGGCTGTTGTACACAGGGTCGCTATGAGTCACAGGCGACTCGACAGCACATAACAGCTCCAACTCCTCTCTCTCTCCGGGGCTGATGCTACATTAAGCTTCAGCCTGCTTTCAGCCAGGTGTCATTCTAAATAAAGCGTAGCTGCCACCCACGCACTTGGCTAATGCTGCTTCCAGACCTTTCGACTCTCTTTTTCCCTTTTGTAGAGCCCGCCAGCGACCTTTCTGGTTATTTTGAACTGCAATTGTTACTGGTGTTTTCTTCTCCCTCCAACAATCTGTCACAAGGAGAGTGCTCCCCAGAGACCCTGAACCAGGTATACCAGGTAGACCTTGACCCAGGTATACTAGGAGACCCTGACCCTGGTATACCACCTGGGTGTCCTGAACCCCTGTCCCACCCCAAAAGCACCGCCACCCCGAGACCCCGCCCAGGGTCTCCCTGACCCCTGCGACACGTCTACGCACCCCCTCACTCACCCTCCTCCAGCTTCACGAAGGGAACAGAACGAACCCACACTGACCTGTTTACGGGGTTTGTGGAAGAGGCGCTGGACTACGTGGAGCTCATCACATGGAACTGTCAACTCCCAACTGTCACGTGCCTGCGCCATGGCTGCATCCACACATGCGCAATACCGCAAACAATGAAATGCATTCAACCCCAAAAAACCCCTGACTCAAAAAACCTACTGACTCTCGGCGAGCCAGAGAACAAGAGCAGAATCCTTTCAAAAGCTGTAATCTTTATGGATGCCAACAGCTACATCTTGGGTGTGTGTGTGTGTGTGTGTGTGTGTGTGTGTGAGGAATCAGTGCTTCAACCACGGTGCCACCAGGCTCCTGGGTTAGCTCATAAATAATAAAAGAGGATTCTTGTTGACCCAGGGGTTAAGGGCTTGGGTAGGGCCATGATGCTTTCAAAACACTACGTGATGACTAAGAAGGGAATGCCTGGGCTCAGGGAAGAGAGACCCCTGCCCAATAGTGTCAATTCCTCTTCTCCGTCACAAAAAACGCAGTTTTTTATGACTAGCTGCTCTCCCAGGTCATGTTCTAATTACTTTCCAAAGCTGTCAAGTAGAATTGAGTTAATGAAATTTTGGGAAGAAACAGTCCTGTAAGTTTGATCATTTTCTCACTCCTAATACCCTTGAACCTAAATGCCATGTATCAGTTATCTCATGTTTATTTCACCCAATGTGGACATTTCATCCTGGGACTAGACAGGCAAGAGTGTCAAGACGCCGTTCACTGGTTCGATCCCAGGTTTCGGTACAAAAAAAAAGATGCCGTTCAATTACAGTTCGACTTCATGCTGTGTCCAAGGGCACATACATTTTTTTATTAGACGCCACTCTTTTCCTCAGCTCAAGGAAGCAGAACCAGGAACAATGGAAATGCAGGATAAGTTTTCCTTCACAAAGCAATAGGATCAATAGTATACTGTTTAATACAACCTTCTCAACGATTCTGAGCTGTACAACGTATTGTAGACTATCTGGTCTTACCTGGTTTTGTTAATCTTTCACACTTCTGTATGCATCCTCAACAAAAATGACCCATCTCCCTCCAATTCTGTATTGCCCCTACCTTTTCACACATTTCTTAAGTGCTTTTACATATAAAGCAATATTCTAATTAAGGATGCTATTCTGTCTTTAAAAACAATAGTATTACTTTACTATGATTTTTTTAATTCATAGTCTTTTAAATTCATATGAAGTTTAAATTAGTAATGTTTTATTTCGGTATTAACTCAAATGTTCATCTCATAGGTACAACTGAACAGCTGATGTGCACGTGTTTCTATTAGCATCATCTTATGTCTTGGTATTAAAACTGATTACACAGCGTGGCTCTATCCTGCTTTTCCAGATTCTACACTGGACGCTGAAGGCACTGCCATGGTCACTTGATTCGTCAAGTTTCTCTGTTGCGTCAATTCTGTTTGCTCCACTGGGTTTAGTCTATCTAGTAACAGGCTGTCCCACAGTGTATGTTCCAATCAGTTAGTAGCCCCCTATTCTCTGCTAGCCTAGTCACTACCTTTCCCTTCTCCCACATCCCTTCTCTTCTTCCCCTTCTGAACTGTTAAAATATCTTCTATTTGCTAAGTGTAGCAGCCATCTTGAGCATATCTCAGTTCTTTCCCAGTTGATCCTCCCTGTGCTGATCTCAGAACGCTCACTGCCCCTTCTATTCCTGTTCTCTCCCTGTTACCCGCCCCTCAGTTACTACTCTCGCATTTTCAGAGGAGCCGTCTCACACAGTATTTGTCCTTTTGTGACGGAGCTATTTCATTCAGCATAATGCCCTCACTTTAATGTGAATTAAACTTAGAAGCAGAGGCAAAAGTCTGTCCACTTTCCTGACGGCCATCCGCCACCTCGTTTTCCTGAGATCTTTCACGGACAATGGGCTCTTGCTTCATCTGGAAGTCTTTCTGACATTTCACGCTCTGAAAGGGTTTCTCCTCTGTGAAGTTTCCACTGTCTGTTGAGACCTGACTGCCGGGCATACGATCATCCACAATAACGACGCGGAAAGGAAGTCTTTCCTGTGGGAAATCTTGGATGTGGTAGGAGGCGTGACTGTGGTTGAAGTCTGGCCCAAACTGACTGCCAGTATAGTGCTGCGTCCTAGGATGAGATCTCTGATGACGAGTCAGATGCCCCTCGTTGATGAAGCCTCTTCCACACTCACCGCACACAAAGGGTTTCTCTCCAGTATGAATTCGCTGGTGAATGACGAGATACCCCTTATAGAGGAAGCTTTTGCCACACTCGCCACATACACAGGGTTTCTCTCCTATGTGGGTCCGCTGATGAATGACGAAATTTCCCTTATGCATGAAGCCTTTACCACACTCACCGCATATCCTCACCTTCTCTCCAGTATGCGTTCGCTCGTGACAGATCAGATTTCCCTTCGTGACGAAGCCTTTACCACACTCACCGCATACAAAGGGTTTCTCTCCAGTGTGGATTCGCTTGTGGATACTGAGATTGCCCTTTTGGTTGAAGCCCTTTCCACACTCGGTGCACACGTAGGGTTTCTCCCCAGTGTGAGTTCGCTGATGGACTGTGAGGTCTCGCTTCCTGATGAAGGCTTTCCCACACTCACCACACTTATAGGGCTTCTCGCCAGTATGAGTTCGGTGATGAAAAATGAGCTCTGTCTTGAGGATGAAGCCTTTACCGCACTCATCGCATTTATATGGCTTCTCCCCGGTGTGGATTCGCTGATGGAGAGTGAGGTGACAATTCCTGATGAAGCCTTTCCCACATTCCTCACATTTGTAGGGTTTCTCCCCACTGTGAATACGCTGATGGACAGTGAGGTCTGTCTTCTGGATGAAGCCTTTACCGCATTGGCCGCATTTATGAGGCTTCTCCGCCGCGTGGATTCGCTGATGGGTAGTGAGGTGATTCTTGGCGATGAATCCTTTCCCACACTCCGTGCACACGTAGGGTTTCTCCCCAGTGTGAGTTCGCTGGTGAATGATGAGATTTACCTTACTGATGAAGTCTTTCCCACACTCACTGCAGACAAAGGGTTTCTCTCCAGTGTGTGTTCGCTGGTGGGTGATGAGGTTTCCTTTGTGGCTGAAGCACTTCCCACACTCAGCACACACACAGGGCTTCTCTCCAGTGTGGGTTCGCTGGTGGGCAGTGAGCTTAGTCTTCAGGATGAAGCCCTTCCGACATATGCCGCATTTATAGGGCTTCTCCCCGGTGTGAGTTCGTAGATGGACGGTGAGGTCGTTCTTGGTGATGAAGCCTTTCCCACACTCCCTGCACACGTAGGGTCTCTCTCCAGTGTGGATTCGCTGATGGATAGTGAGAGAGGACTTCTGGGTGAAGCCTTTCCCACAGACCCCACATACATGGGGCTTCTTCATTTTGTGACTTTTCTGACTTCTCTGGACTCGGGCCTCAGTGCTCTGGGATTTCTGACTTTCAGAGAAGGCCATTTCGATACAAACTTGATCACAATCACGGTGGAGCAAGGTTTTCTGATTTCCATTCAGCTCAGAGAAGTTCTTGACATGACTGCTGCTTCTCTGATGGACTGCTGGTAAAGATAAACCTGGTTTCATTGTTTTTTCAGGTAATTCGAACACAACATGGTTTTCCATGAAATGAAATTCCGTTTTGTGCTTATGGGCATTAAGGTCTTTGTGTTCCAGTCTGGGTAATCGTCTTTCATCAGACAGGAGCCCAAGCAGATGATCGTCGGTGTTTTGGACTTCTATGAGAAAACAGAATATAATGAATCGTTCCAGCATTATGAAAGAAAGTGGTCTGATTTGGAATTTTTAAAAAAATTTATTAATTTTAATGAACATTTACAGAAATGTTGGATTTCCATTCATGCATTGTTTCATTTTTCTCCTTGCCCACCCTTCCCCCTCCCCAGGATTTTTAATGAAGTCCTTTGGCTTTGAGAGTAAATAAAACATCATGCTTACTGTTACTTGCAAGATGATAAAAACAAAATATAAACAATAAAGGCGATTAGTGAGGGACTAAGGAAGGAGGCTGGGGGGAGGACAGTCTGTAGTGAGTCAGGTTTCTAAATCAAAGGTGGCGTGTCTCTGGCAGTTTGAAGTCGCCATTCTGACAGATGAAGGAAGTTGACAATCTCTTCCTGTGCAATTTACGGCCTTGAAAAACCTGCTGGCGAGTCAGCTTTGGGCAGGTTCACACTCAATGGCAATGAGACAAGTAGAATGAGACGAGAATATGTGCAATGAATCCCCATAGGTTTGGATGCTTCTACGATGATACAACCCTGCTTGCTGAAACTGAGGAGGACCTGAAGCACTTGCAATATCGATGGAGGCTCAATGTCAAGAAGACAAAGATTCTCACCACTGGGCAGATGGGCAGCATCATAATGGACTGTGAAGAGATTGAGATTGTTCACAGTTTTGGTTTGCTTGGATCCACAGTCAACAGTCTTGGCACCCACTGCCAGGAAATTAAAAGGCGTATTACGATGGGAAAATCTGCTGTTAGGGACCTCTCCAAAGTACTGAAGAGCAGTGGTGTCACTCTGGAAACTAAGGTGCACCTAATACAGGCTATGGTCTTTGCAATCACTTGCTAGGCATCAGAGAGCTGGACAATGACTAGGGAGGACAGAAGGAGAAGTGACGGCTTTGAAGAAGAGTATTGAATATACCATGGACTGCTAGGAAAATGAACAGGTTAGTCCTAGAGAGGGTGAACCTGGGCTGCTCCTCGGAGGCAAGGATTCTGAAGCTTCGCCTGACATACTTTGTACATGCTGCAAGGAGGAATCAGTCCTTGGAGAGGAACCCCATGCTTGGGAGGCTGGAGGGACAGAGCAGGAGAGGAAGGCCCTCTATGAGGAGGATTGATTCAATGACTGGGGTAACGGGGGCAGGTGTGTCAGAGAGGGTAAAATTGGCACAGGATAGGGTAGAGTTTAGGGCTTTTGTACATAGGATTGCTATGAGTCGCAGGCGACTTGATGGCACATAACAACAACAACAAAAGTAAGTCATGTAAAACACGCACAAAATGTAAAACAGAAGTTGTTGGGGGGCAGGGGGAGAGGGCTGGGCAGGTAGAGAAGTGCAGCAATGAATGAATGGAAATCCAAATTCTCTGTAAATGTTCATTAAAATTATTTTTAAAAAGTCATAAAATTAAAAATAATACTATTAAAAAAACAAAACCAGAAGTTGTTGTTGTCTATAGAAAAAATACCCAAGAACAGAAGTTGTTGTCTTTGGAAAAAATAACAAAGAGGCTGCATGGCCTCCAAGTCTCATATGATGAAGGACAGACTGGTTTACTTCCTGAATCCTTCCTAGAAGACAGAGATAACACCAGGCAAGGCTAGGGATGTGAAGAATGGAAAATTTAAAAATTGACAGAAAACAACTGTTACACACGCACAGTAAAGGTTTTGGAGAAATGCAAATGCTTTCACTTCTATAGGAGGGACTGCAGTGTATTTTCACAAATATCCTGTGAGGATACTGTGCTGGGTATCGCTGTGATGCTGGAAGCCAAGCCACAGAGGATCATCCACGGTGGACAGGTATCACGGGGCTCCCAGAGTCAGAAAACCAAGAAGCCGGAGTTAGTGGGTTATTTATTTCCAGTTAGAGAAAAATCCTGCTATAAATAGGAACCCCACCAAAAATGGCAAGCCAAGGCACACCTTCAGGACAGCAGCAGAATACTGTCTGATGATAGTGTCAGAAAATGAAACCCCTGGGTTGAGAGACACTCAGTAAATGGCTGCGGAAGTTCAAGTCAGTGACTGCCTCCTAAAGGTACAGAAGATTTCAACGACGTGAAGGGATGATGCTTGGCTACGGCTGCTATCGTGCTGTGAAGCCGACCCTTCAGTGGGTTCCATGTGATGGGGTGGTATGTTCATCTAATAGATATAAGACTTACATATAAAAAGAGTGGGGGATGATAGGGTGGTATTATTAATAAGTTCAGAATTCTCTCTATAGGTATCAGTTATAAAACTGTAGTTCTTTTTCTTCAGCCTGCAAAGCTAGTTGCTTAGCCTCTGAATTCTCTGTTTCCTGTCTTTAGTCATGTAGAGTAGTTTGATCTGTTTATCAGAAGAGGAAATGCATGTATGCTAGATGCTGGTGAAGCTGGTTCTCCCGTCATATGTAAACTGTGTCTTAATCCACCTGTTTACCAGGAGGAGAACTGGGGCCTTCCTGAATTACTGATACATAGATGGGGACTGTCCTTTTCAGGTGCAGAAGTCACCTTTTTTACTAACAAAAGTGCACTGTTAAATGAGCTGGAGTTTCACCCTAGTATATAAGGCCATGACCACTCCCAGACACGGAGGCAGTCTTTGAGGCCGGGACCCAACCCACTGTCCTCCACAGATCTGTAATAAGGTACATTTATGGATATTGCATTTTGTGTGTCTTACTGGCGAGTGACTACGGAAAGAACCCCTTGCGTTCAGTTAACACATGGGCTGCAAATCGCATAGGTGGAAAGGGCCCAAATTTCTCCCACCGAGCAGCTGGCAGATTTGAACCGCATGCCTTCAGGTTGACGACACAACTCCTTACCCACGGGGCCACCGGAGTTCCATGGATAATGCTTTGGGCAAGTGTAATTGCTACACAGCCCCAATGGTATAAGAAGAAACAGCGGCAAAGATCTAGCAATGACCACAAAATCTAAGTCAAACGGTGAATAAACTGGAAAGCATGAAGACCCACAGAGTAGGAATCACTGAGATGAAAAGGGCCAGGATGGGAAGCCAAGTTTCATACCAAGTATTATATGAAAAACCATATGCTTGTTCCGGAATTGAAAGAATGACAAATTTATAAGTTAGGATTCCTCTTGTGACAGATCACAGAAAATGAGCTGTTCCCTGCAGACAAGAGACAGCTAGGGCCCCCCTACAGAGGGAGTGTTACTACCTGTGAAATATTTCCTTCCTGAGCTAAAGCAGTAGGCTGAAAAAAGAGAAGAATTCGGCTTCATTTACAAGAGAATTCGTTTTATGACTTGCTTCCCCTGATTACCAATGAACACTCAGAGAGGCATGGCTTGACGCACTTCAGTCTAGAACTGCTGGCTCCCTGTTTTATGCTCTCTGCTCTATCTCGTTCCTGGCTGTCTGTCTCATTATTAATAAGTATAAAAATACTTGACTCTCAGTCTACAACAGGCCAGCAGGGAAGCTTTGAAATGTACCCTCGCAGAGTCTATGTGGAGAATAAAAAATTAAAAAGAAGAAACGGAAGATTTTTACCAACTTTCAGGTCTGAAATGGACTGAAAGGGCAATCAAGATGCATTTACACCTAGTAGCATCAGGATTGGTGGAAGAATCAGGAACGACCTGCGTTATGCAGATGACGCAGCCCTGCTTGCTGAAACTGAGGAGGACCTGAAGCGCTTGCTGCAGAAGATCAAGGACTACAGCCTCCTATATGGACTGAAGCTCAACATCAAGAAAACAAAGATTCTCACCATGGGCCAATTGGCAGCATCAGTATGGATGGTGAAGAGATTGAGATAGTTAACCGTTTGAATTTACTTGGCTCCACAGTCAATACTCTTGGTAACAGCAGCCAGGAAATCAAGAGACGAATTGCATTGGGAAAGTCAGCTGTGAGGGACCTCTCAAGAGTACTGAAGAGCAACGATGTCAGGCTGGAGACTAAGGTGTGCCTGATC